TCCAGGACATGCAGAATAAACTCCTGAAGTGTTTAAAAAAAAACAAAAACAAACAAAAACTAACCAACAAATAAAAAAAAAACTTGCTGAGCTTCTCATACTTGCTGTGCCAGGCTGCAGTGTAAGCAATCAACATGCAGCTCCTACCCCCATGAAAAAACACCTTACTGATGATAAGCTCTGTGTGTGTGTGCATGTGCAGGGACTAATTTGTTTCCAAGACACAGTATTTGTTCTCCACCCTAGAAAAAGTGTCCCTAAAATAGGGAAATGGCATTTGCAGATTAAAGTCATGCACATAGGTGTCCTTGCTTCTCACCAGGAGCTGAAGTAGACTGGGATTATATTTTTCATCTGTGTGCATGGCCAAAGCTGCAGTACCTTGCAGATCCACTCCTGCCCTCCAGGCACTGTAAACTTCTGGTTTTGAGGTTCCTTCTGTTTCTCCTCAGGATGACATCATTGATGACGTGGAAAGCTTTGTAGCTGCTGCAGAGATCCTGAAAGAGCGTGGAGCCTACAAGATCTTTGTGATGGCAACTCATGGGCTCCTGTCAGCAGATGCCCCCCGTCTCATAGAGGAATCCTCCATCGACGAGGTGAGTCTGCTTTCTGCAGAGGAGGGGCTGGCTCTGATGACATCCAAACTCACAAACTGATGTTCTCCCCATGCCACACAGCTCATCTCTGACATCACTGTTGTAATCAGGTGCTTTCAGTTAGCTGGTTCTTCAATGGAACAAAAAAAGTGTGTGTGATTAATACTTGTTCAGATCAGGTCTGCTTCCCTGAGTATGTTTTCTCCCTAATGCAGGTATTAGTCATCCCTGCGTGGACACTTCCCTTACTGCAGCTGGTGGTGTGTGGCTGCCATCTCACTGTGCAGCCCTTCTCCCTGCCCCTCTCCCCCAGCTGCTGAGGGAGGACAAGATTTCACACCTCACCCTTAGTAACAAACGTGTCAGATGCTGTGAACTGAGTGGACCCATCAGCCTGTGTGGAGGTGGCTGTTGGAGAGTGCTGGTTATGCTGGTCCCCTCAACAGATTGACTGTCATGTGGGGGAGACCATTTATTTCAATCCCACAAGGATTTCTCCCCCTGAATTGTGGAACAGCAAGTGCACACCCCTCCTAATCCAGGATGGCTTCTCGGGGAGAGCGAGTGTTTCAGTGGCACAACTTTCTTTCCTTTCCATCCATAGGTGGTGGTGACCAACACGGTTCCTCATGAGGTGCAGAAGCTGCAGTGCCCCAAGATAAAGACTGTGGATATCAGTTTGATCCTGTCGGAAGCCATCCGGCGGATCCACAACGGCGAGTCCATGGCTTATCTCTTCCGCAACATCACTGTGGATGACTAGACCTGGCTCTGCCCCCGTCCTGGGTTCCACGGGAGAAGGAAATGTGCATGAAAAGGCAATACCATAAAATATAGGCATAACACAACTGTTTATTTTTGTAGGAGCGTGAAGGTTTTCAGGGTCTTTGAGCCGTGAGATCTAATAGAAAAAAGTCAACCTGACCAGCACTTTACAGTTGAATAGAAGAGGCCACTGGCAATGGCGAGGGTTACACCTTAATTAAGAGAGGTGGTGTTGAATTTTTAAGTTCCTTTAATGATTTTTTTCTTTTTTTTTTTTTAGTGTGTTATATCTCTTGCCCTGTAGGGGTGGAAAGAAAAGCTAAACAGAAGTAGCTGTCAGCTTATGAGAAGGGAATAGAGACTGTTCATTGCTGTGTGGGCAAGCAGGAGCAGCCTTTGGGGTTGTTTCTGCCTGTGGCTCACCCGAGAGCACAGAAGGGAACGTTCTGCTGGCAGAGCTGAGCAGCACAGCAGCTCCTTGCCAAGTGAGTGGCCTCTCATCTCCTGCACAGCAGAGCAAGGACTTTCATCAGAACTAAGTTAGCGGAACATCCCAAAAGGACAGCTTAGGGCAACCCGTTCACAGGGCTACTCACATCCTTGTGTCAGGGAGCTGGGAACAAGCTCACGTGTCTCCCAGCAGAGCAGGGAATGCTAGTTAATGTGTTGGCCTTTTCATTTCGCAAGCTTTTGGATCATTATTGTTCTTCAGTGACAAGTCACATGAGGGTCTTGGTCCTCACTTGAACACTTGTCTGCACTGCAAAGCCAGGCACAATTTTTGGAGTTGCCTGGGGCTGACGAGTTTGTGTCAGAGTCTCGTGGGGAAGGGAAGTTGGAACAATATCTGCTTCTAATGCAGCTGTGCTCTCCAAAACACTAACACCGAACCTGCAATAAAAAGCGTAAGGTTTTTCAATTTCGGTGCTTCCTGTGAATGCTGTACCCTCTGAGCAGCTGCTGTGTGTGTTCAGTGGGGCTGTTGGTGTAACCAGGCTCACTTGGCAGCTTGCAGCCTTCTCCCATAGAGAAGTAGGACTTGCTGATCACTCCTGTCCTGAGTGATACTAATTTTTGGGTGGAGGGGACACTTGAGGAAGGAGCACAAGATGCACGTGGAGGGCTTTGTCTCCAGGATGATATAAGGATAAATTCCCCAACTCTGATCTTCCCCCTTGATGAGACAAACACACTCCAGTAAAACCTACACCACTTTCTAGCCTGCTGATGTGAGGAACAAATAAAAGCTGCTGGAAGCAGTTGCTTCAACAGCCTAAGAACTGTTTAGTTTTGCTTATCCTTGTTCTACACCTTTCTCTTCCGCTCCAGCATCTAAAATATGTATGGGGCCGAGGGGCTGGCAGTGACTGAGCAGGACAAGCTTTGAACACCAGGCAGACAAAGGTACCTCAGCATGGAGTGGTTGGATCAGCATGGATTAAACCTCCAAGCCACATCCCATGAGGGATGTGCAGGGCTGGATGAGGTCTCAAAGCTGTTGATTGGTTTCTTGCATTTTCAGAGTACCACAAACAAATCCCAGCTGTACTCTGTGGCCACAGTGTGGCTCCTCAGCCTGGTGGGGTAACACTGCTGTGCTGCAAGTATTGAAAGGATCAGCTGAAGCGTGTGAAGTTCTTGTAGATGTCTGTGTGCCCCCTTGTTCCAAGCCAGTACCAGACCATGATCTCCATCCTGAAAGCCAGTGTTAAAAATGTGAGAGGTATTGCTCTTCTCTCCCCTTCAAACTGCTTGTCAGACCTGCCAGGAGCAAGGCCAGGGCTCATTGAGGGCTGTTAGCCCATTCAGGCCTGTTTTAACTGGGCTGTGTTTGGGAAGAAACCATGGAACCACGGCACCAGTGAGCAGAGGGTTGTGCTGCTGTCCCTGGGGTCACTGTGGTGAATGGATGTTTTAAGGTAATTTAAAGAATCACTGGTAAAAGCAGGTTTAATACAGAAGTGAAAGCTCAACAAAGTTGTTGGCAGCCCCCAGCACCTCTGGCCACTGCACACCCCAGGGCCTCTGCCAAGGTTGCTCAGCTCTCCTCTTCCCTGCACATCCCAAAGGGAGGCAGGACCTGGCATAGGCAGAGCCAGGGCAGCTCCTCGACTAGTCCAGTGTGTGCCCTCTGCACAGAAAAGGGCCTTGTTCAGGGTGGTGGGAAAAACAGCAGGAGCTGGGAGCCCCCTGAGGGCCAGCCTGGACTGACATCCCACCACAGCCCCTCTGTGGGACGAGTGGCACCTGAAACCCTTGGGGCTGGGGAGGAACCTTTGGAAATCCAACAAAGGCAAGTGCCGGGTCCTGCATCCAGGATCCCCCAGCACCCACACCTCCGTCCCGAGGGTGCAGCCAGCACGAGGCCACGCAGCAGCACGGACCCTCTGAGCAACAGTGTGGGACTGACAGGTGAGTGCCGTGGGGACAGCACTGGACCCGTTCCCTCTGGCTGTCCTAGCCAGGGCCTGTGTGGTGCCTTGGCACCAGACCCATTTAGCCAGCAAACAATCCCCGGGAATGCTCATGTAGCTGTCCCGTCTCCTCCCACTGGTAGCAGGTTCCTGACACTCAAGGAGGCAGCTTCAGGATGGAGCCCTTCTGAAACACAGTGGCTGCCCAGGGCAGGCAGGGATGTGAGGTAAAGAGCACAGACACCCACAGCTGCCATCCCAACCTGCCCTCACACCTGTGTCCTTGCTTGGTCAGCACCAAGGGCAGACCCAGGCCCCCTCAGCCTGTCCCCAATCCCTGAGCTCATGGAGAAAAATCAAGTACCCCCTGAGAGCCCAAAGGCAAAGGCTGCCCACCCCACAGAGACCCCCCAGCTCCTGCAGCCACAGCACCCAGCCCCATGTTGCCCTTGCCACCTGCCCCAGTTCCCATGGGACTGGGCTGCTGTGGGTGCCTCTGGGAGGAATTCCCACGATGGTGAGTTTTGGGCACTTCCCTCTATGGATTCACTGAGCTGGCAGTTTTTCCCAGGTGGGAACCCACAAGTAGCCCATTTCCCCCATTGCACCCCCTTTATTTTGTAACTAGCCAGTGGGTTGGACTGGGATGGGGTGGGGGAGAAACCAGGCTCAGGACCCTGCAATTCCCCCTGCAAACACCGTAATTCCCTGCAGGACATGCCTGGCCCAGGAGCCAGGATCCCCCAGGAGCTCACCCAGCCCTCCTGTGCTCAAGGCTCCGGAGCCTTGCTGGAACAGGGAAGATGTTGGTGCTTCTGCAAGTTCATGAGAGTTTCTTGCTGATGATTTTTGTAAGGACTTGTCTGATGGGTCACTCTGGTTCAAAGATTTTTCCCAGCATTTGAGTAGTTTACTTTCAAGGCATGTCTGGAAGCACGTGTTTATCTGCTTTTCCGGCTCTCTGCTTTGGACTGAGGTGCTAGAAATCCATGTGTCAATGCCATCAGCAGCAGCCTTCCACCATTCCCACATTTAAGGGAGAAGGGAAACTCTGTCATGCTTTTGAGATCTCAAAAAAGTGAACAGCTGGCAGTGCAACCTCTCTGGGCCCAGTCTCCCAGAGTGTTCCAGAGTGGCCCAGCATGCGTGAGCACATGGATCACCTCTCTCCACGGGGCACAGCTCTCCTGGGCAGGCACAGCTCACCCTGCAAGGGGCACCTGGGGCATGGGCTGCCCAATGTGAGCCGTCCCCAGGGTCATTTTGGGGCTGAAAGTGTTAAAGCCGGAGGTGTCTCGGCACATGGATTCCACCGGCTGCCAGGAGCTGGGCATGCCAGCAGTGAGGGACAATGGGGATGTTCCACAGAGGGCTGGGCTGCTGCTGTGTAACAATGGGTGACCTATGCCAGGGTGGGCCATCGCCTTGAAACAGGGGACACCATAAACAGAGCCATATGCAGCAAGGAACGAGGGGGAGACCGCAGGGGAAGGAGCCTGTCAGCTGCGTGCGTACCTTTGCTCTACCTCCTGCCACACCTCCTGTCACCTGCCATCCCAACTGCTCCTGTCTGGAGCAGTAGCACAGAAGGCCGTTGCTCACAGTAGGTCTGTGTTTTTGGACAGGTCGGCAGCCATGGCAGAGCTCACCCTGGGCCAGATACTGGATTCGGCCATCGGGATGCCCAAGACTGATCCCATCAACTTCGAGCAACTGCGCAACCTGCTGAATGGGATGCTTGTGAACCTGGGCCTGCGGGATCTGGTCGTCCAGGAGAGTGGGGAACCCCCGGAGGGGACCCCGACAATCCCCCCAGCTGCCTCTATGGCTGCTGACCTTGAGGAGTTAAAGCAGAAAACGGAAGCCAATGAAAGAGAAATCGCTGAGGTAGAGGCTCTTCCCAGCCCCCTCCTCTGGGGTCTGCACCACTGTTGTGCTGCTGGGCAGCTGCTGCCCCTTCTTGGCAGCTGAAGATGTGATGGAGGCCCAGCAGTGTCCTGTGCCCTGCGCTGCCCCTGGCTCTGTGCAGACCATAGTGGGGGGAAGGACCTGCTTCCCAGCAACCCTGCCCTGGGGCTCACCCTGCCTTCCCCCTCTCCTAGGTCAGGGCTCTTTGCGAGCAGCTCCGTGTGGAGATAAATGAGGTGAAGGAGCAGCAGTCCCACATGGAGGAGAACATGCAGAAGATGCAGGAGACTCTGAACACAGTGAGCTGCCAGTGGTGCCCCTGGGAGCTGCCCCTTACTGTGTTGCCCTGCCACCCTGCTCTACAGCCCTTGGTGGCTCCCAGCGTGGAGAGCACCAGGAGGGAAGAGTGGGAAGGGTGTCCCCAGAGTGGAATGTGGGAGCTCAGCCCAACCCACCCAGAGCCCCCCCCTCCCCAGAGCACTGCCCCAGGGAGGGCAGAAGGGCACTTCTGCCTGCAGGTGGGACCAGTGGTAGAGGTCACTGCCTACCTCAGCCAGGGATGCTGAAGCACTTGTGAACTAAACAGCCACCAGAAAAGTAAGGTGGGTGCTGGGAAGGAGAGGAGATAAAGATCCACCCATGCAATACAGCCACAGCCCCTGAGCACAGCCCTGCCCAGAGTCCCTCTGCCTTGTGCCTGAGCTAATTTGCAGATGTTCCTTTTAAATCCTGCTCCCGTGTTCTGACTCCTGTCCCTCTCCTCGCTCCACTCCAGGCGAACCTCGAGGATATGGAGGAGAACCTCCACGACCAGCTGACGGACCCTGCCACAGACACTGTCATGGACACTGTCATGGTACATCCTACATCCCTGAGCACACCCGGGCCCTGCTCCAGGATGTGGCTGCACCCCCAGTGCACCCTGTCCCCCCACATCAGGGGATGGGCAGCAATGCTGGGGAGGTCCGTGCTCCTCTGGATCCCGTGGAGGGTGACAAAGATGATTTGGGACCTGGAACATCTGTCTCCTGAGGAAAGGCTGAGGGAGCTGGGCCTGTTCAGCTTTGAGAAGGCTGAGAGGGAGCCAAGGCTGGGAGGGTGGTGCTGAGCATCCAGGGGGGATCCATACCTCGGTTTCCCCAGGAAAAGCTGGGTGGAGAGGCTGGCTTGGGGATGCTGAATGTAGCCCCATGTTGCAGCCATCCCACTCTCTCCTTCCCAGTCTTCCATGAAGGACATTATGGGCGAGGACGGACAGGTTCCCCCGGACTGGCAGCAGGTCCCCCCGGACTGGGAGCAGGGGCCTGGCATGCGCTCACACCCTTGGGAGAACCAGGGGCTGATTGTCATCGGCAGTGAAAGTACGTCTGGGCAGGCCTGGGGAGGGGATCCAGTGGGTGGGAGGGGCACAGGGGGGCAGGCAGGGGGCGTGTGGACTGCTGGGTTTTCCCCCAGCTGTGTTCCCCAGGGCTCCCCCAACCCCAAAGAGTTCCCCCTGTTCTCTTCTTCCAGTTGTCCTCACGGACAGGTTCAGGGCATCCTCACCAAGACAGCGGGATACCCGGTCCCCCAGCCCTGCACCCTCAAAGTCCAGGGCCGAGGCACAGAGCAGCGGGAAGGATTTGCCACCTGGGGTCACGAGCAGCCCCCGAGTCTCCTTCATGGCAAGTGACATGGGATGGAACGACATGGGACGGAACAGCATGGGACCCATCAAGGAGGAAGAGATCCAGATGGGCATCCCCAAGGGAGCAGCTCTTCCCGGCCCCAAGGCATGGAGCAGAGGGAAGAACTTGCCGCATGGGGCTGTGAGCAGCCCCCGAGTCTCCTTCATGGAAAGCGACATGGGATGGAATGACATGGGACAGATCCAGGACGAAGAGATCAAGATGGGCATCTCCAAAGGAGCGGCTCATCGAAGCTCAAGGGCACAGAGCAGAGGGAAGAACTTGCTGCACGGGGTCACGAGCAGCCCCCGAGTGTCCTTCGTGGAAAGTGGTGTGGGATGGGATGAAGTGGATGAGAGTGGGGATGATGAGGAGATCAAGACAAGCATCTCAAAGGCAGAGGCTCTTCCCGGCCTCGACAGGGAACAGATCAAGGACAAAAAGATCAAGATGAGAATCTCCAAGGCAGAGTCTTTTCCCAGCCCCCTGGGTACTTCCCCTGAGATGAACGACATGGAGCAGATCAAGGACGAAGAAATGGAGATGAGCTTCTCTAAGGTAGACTTTTCCCAGCCACCTGGGTGCTTCCTCTTGGATCCCCCTCCCCTGGGGTCTGCACCACTGTTGTGCTGCCCTTAGACCAAGGTCTGGTTTAAACCCAGGCTCACAGCAGCACAGGGAGCTTCACTGAGAAAAGGGGATGGAGTTTTGGGGGCAAGAACTGGGGCTGAAACACTGCTCTGCTTGCTCAGACAAAGAGTTTGGATGGCAGTGTCACTGCCCTGAGAGTGCATCCAGGATCCCCTGGCATCCACACCCCCATCCAGCCCATGAAGGCAGTACGAGGCCACCCAACATCACAGAGCCTCTGGATCCCAGATGAGAGTGTGGCTGGGACTGACAGGTGAGTGCCACGGGAACAGCGATGGCTTTGGGGACGGCACTGGCCCTGTTTCCTCCACAGGGCCCATGTGGGGCCCTGGCATCAGACCCATTTATCTGCTGATCGAACCGTGGAGATGCTGGTGATGGAGCTGTGCTGTCTCCTCCCTGTGGTAGCAGGTCCCGGACAGCCAAGGAGGCACAAGGAAGGGGCAGCTTCAGGATGGAGCCCTCTGGGATGTGAGTACAAAGCTTTCCTGACAAGTGTAGGGGACAGGGGACGAGTGTAGGGAACAGGGGACAGCAGGTCATCCCCCCAGGCAGGGCTGTGATGGTGCCAGAGCCGGGCATGACCTGCTCTCCTGGCACGGCTCAGGGGGGTCCTGAGCACTGACCAAGCGAGGACAGGGGTGTGAGGGCCGGTTGGGATGGCAGGTGTGGTGCCACCTCACCTCCCTGCCTGCCCTGGGCAGCCATGAGCAGCCCAAGCATTTTGGAGACACCAGCAGGACCCGAGGCTTTTGGGTACCTCCCTCTGCAGATTCACTGTTACCTGGTATGAGCTGGAGCTTCTCTCCCGGAAAATAACCCATCTCCCCTATCGCCCCCCTTTGTTTTGTAACCAGCCAGTGGGTTGGGCTGTGCTGGGGTGGAGTAGAAACCATGCTCAGCACCCCGCGATTCCCCCTATGAACACCATAACTCCCTGCAGCGAACTGGCTGCTGCCTGCACAGGTGGGGCTGCATCCCCCCGGGAGCTCACCCAGCCCTTTTCTCCCCATTTTAGGAAGCTCCTAAAGGTGCCCTCTCCCGAGTTCTTGCCCAGAGACCAGCCCTTCACCATGCAGTTTCCTGGCCCGTGAGTAGCAGCGGCACCGGTGCCTCGGGGGCTGCGTGGGTGGGACAGGGGCAGGGGGGTGCTGGCAGTGCCCTGCTGGGGCAGGGATGGCTCGTTTGGCCCCTGTCACCCACCCGTGTCTCCTGCCCTTTCCAGGCCCTCTCCACCCGGGTCTCCTGCCCTCCCTGGGCTCTCTCCACCCGGGTCTCCTGCCCGCTCCAGGCGCTCCGATATCATCCCCTACACGCCGCCGCCGTCCCCCGGGCTCACGGGGCGCCTGCCCCCCATCGTCAAACAGTACCAGGAGCGCGGCCAAAGGTCGGGACGTGGGCCCTGGGGGTGTGGGGGAGCCCTGCCCAGCAAGGAGAGCTCTTCTCTGGGTGGGGGCGGAGGGGCCCGGGGGTGCCGGCAGGAGAGAGGGGCTGCGGAGGGTCAGGTTTTACAGCCCCACCCTGTCTAGTCCAGTTCTCTTGTCTCGATGGCACTGAAGCCGCATGTGGCGAGTTGTGTCTGGTCTCTGCCTGAGCTCAGGCTTGGTGGGGGCTCGGGTGCCTCCTGTGAATGAGTTCCCAAAACCAAGCCCTGCAGCTGGGACAGCCCAGCTCCTGCCTCCTGGCGTCCCCTGCGGAGGGCACAGGGTCCTGCCCTGGCCGCGGGTCCGTCCGGGGCTGTGGGGAAAGGGCAGGTCCCTGCAGGGCTGGACGGGTCTCCTGCAGCAGCTGGAGGGGAGCCGGTAGCCCCCCAGGGAGCCCCCCTGTCCCCCTCCCTGGCATAGCAGGGTGAAACACGGGGTGCCACGGTGCTGAGCACTGAGCATCCCTGTGCCCCACCCCGCAGGGAGCAGGCAGAGAGCTATTCCCGCAGATCCCCCATGTACTGTGGGGGCCGGCACACCAGCATCTGCCCAGTGCAGCCGATGGAGCCCCTCCTCCCAGACCCCAGCAAGGTAGGGATGATGAAGATGGGGATATAGGCTGGGGCAGCCGAGGCGGGGAGGGTGATGCTGAGCATCCTGGGGGGATCCGTGCCTCAGTTCTCTCTGGAAGAGCTGAGTAGGGAGGCTGGCTTAGGGATGCTGAATGCAGCCCAGAGTTCCAGCCATCCCCCTCTCTCCTTTCCAGCCCGGCGTGTTTGACCTGGTGGGCAGGGATGGAATCGTCTACCGAGGTCGGCAGTGCAGGAGGACTCCTATGGGGTCCTGGACGGAAGGAGCAACCTATTCCAATCTGCAGTAAAGGGCTACGAGCAGCCAAGCATCTGTGCTTCCTGAGTGGAGTGGCCTTGGATCAGGATCTTTCCTTCTTGAACAAGGAGGGGCTGCTGGAGGAGCTGAAAACAGCACCTCCCAGGGTCTGTGTCAGCCCCCTGCTCCCCCTGGCACCCCCTGGCCCCTGCCAGGGGACCCTGTGGCCCCAAAGGAGGTCTGGGGGAGCCGAGTGGTGCAGCAGAAGGAGGATGTTCCTTTGCCTCCAGAGAGGCAGTGGGAAAGGGGGGTCTCAGCAGAAAGAGCAGCAGCAGGACACGGTTTAATGTCAAGTGAATCCCACCCCAAGCCCGCTGGTTTGCTATCGATTATCCCATGGGATGAGCATCACCGGGCTGCTTTCTTTATCTCCAAGGGAAGGAAGCCCCTTGTCCCTCTCCCCTTTGTCGTCCCCCCCCCCCCCCCCCCCCCCCCCCCCTCCTCCCACCAACGGAAAGAGGAAGGCACGAGCCCCGCTGCTTCCCACCTCCAGACGAGAGCACCGTAACCTGTCCCTGCCCCCCTGGGGGGAACACACGCCCCCTCCTTTCCCTTATGCCACCCCCAGGGATTAGCGCTGCTTTCCCAGCCCCTCCCGAGCCAGCGCGGGGGGAGCCGAGGGTGTCACGGCTGGGGACACGTGGCCGGGGTTGTCCCCACAGCACACAGGGAACGACTCGTGGGGGAAGGGGGGACACAAAGCCGGTGACACCTCTCGGATGAGTGGGAGGGTGAGAAACACCGAGGGGAACCCCAGAGGCAGCCAGGGAGGACACGGAGCTTAGGGGGAACATCCCCTCAACACCCGTGGTGTGTCTCCGGGGGCTGCTCCATGGAAAACTCGCTCTCCTGGTGAATGTTCTCCCCAAACTGCAGGGGGAAGCCCAAAAACCTTCTGCCACACAGACAGACTCCATCCCTGTCCACCCTTCTGTGCTCCAGAGGCACCTTAGTCCGTAGGGAGCACCCCCTCCAATGTTTTCCTTGGTGGGTTTGGTTTTTCAGGAGGAAAGAATGGGTGCTCAAAACCTGCTTCTGGGGTGCTGAGGTGGGTGCAGCAGGATCTGGGGTCCCCCCAGTGCCACCTCCAGTAGGATAACTGGGAGCACTCTGAGCAAACCACCAGGCACCAGAGCAGAGCCATCAAAGGACCATCCTGCACCCCTGGGTGGGGCTGAGGGGATGAAAAACACCCTGGGGACTAATTGCATTTGCAGGATATGGCCCAGCTGGGGGGACCCCTTTGGTACTCATCATCCCTCCGGCTCAGCACCTCTCCCACCCCCTGCCCCATCTGCAGCCCCTGGGACCCAGCTGCACCCTGTTAACACCCTCACCCTCCTATACCCCCTAAACACACACCAGCCTCACATCCCTCCTTGGGTGCTCTGTGTGCTGCTGGAGCAGGTGAGTAGCCCCAGATGGGGGATTTTTTTAGCCTTTTCTCCTTGGGAGGTTGTACCATCCTGGGGGTCTCTCCATCCCTGGGGGATGCTTTGCCACTGTGCTTTGAGCCCCCCAGCCTTTCCTGGCATCTCCAGATCTGCTGTGTTCCCATTTTGGGGGTTGTTACCCTAGTTGCTTGCTGTGTGGCCTTGGCCTGGTGGCCCTTCTGCAGTGGGGAGCAGTCAGAGGGCATCACCCCCCAGCACAGGGTTTCCCCAAAAGCCTGGCAGCCCCTGAGTGTCCCAACAGTGCTGAGGCCTGGGGGGCTCATCACATGGGTGGGGATGGGGTGGTTTGCAGGCTGTGAGATTTTGTGAGGGGACAAGATGGGGTTTGGGCTGTACCCCCTGGCACAGGGGGGTCCTCGCTGTGCTGGCACAGCACCTCCATGGCTTTGGGGGTGCTGGGGGTCTCCCCTTCCCTCTGCCCCCCTCTTTGGGGATGGCAGCAGTGGTTTGGGGAGGCAGAGCGTGGGACTTGGGGCAGCTCCTGGAGGGGGGGGCCAGTCCCCACTGGTGACACTGTAGCACGGGAGGGTTGTCTCCCCCATTCTCAGTGCCCAGCCAGGAGAGAGAAAAGGCAGGGACAGCTGGTGTTAAAAAAGTGATTTTGTTTTTGTTTTGGTATTTTTTTTATTATTTTTAAATTAATAAAAAACCTTCAACCTGTTTTTTGCCGTTTTTTTCTTTTTTTTTTCTTTTTTTTCTTTTCTTTTTTTTTTTTTAAGCAAGATTGGTTTGAAGACTAAAAAACCCCCTCCCAACCCCCCAACTCTCCCTGGGGAAGGGCCATGTATGGCAGTTGCAGGGACAGAGGGAGCATCACCTTGATGATTCCCCAGGCCCTGGGGGTGCTGAGGGAGGGAGGAAGGACGGGGTTGGGGGGAAGTCCAGGGGGGGTCTGTGCAAGAAGCTGGGCTGAATTTCAGAAGCCAGAGGAGAGGCTGGTTTGCTCTGGGCACTGTGACAAGCGTCCAGGAAACCCAGAGCTGGGGGGAGAGGGGTGTCCAGTGCCCCCATGGCCATGATGTGGGGTGCTGACAGCCACCTCCATCCATTCATTTTTGTTATTCCTGTCCCCCCCCTTCCCTCTCCTGCCCTGATGTAGGGATGCCAGGTGGGGGTAGAGCCATAGGGAAACGCCCCCCCCCAGACACCCAGCAGCTGCCTCCACACTGCTACTCCTTCTCTCTGGATTTATATACATTAGATATATTTATATATTATAGTTATATATTTTAAAAAAAACAGGGGGGGAGGGGAGGAGAAAAGACCAGCCAGCGACTCTTGCAGAGGCACTCAGAGGCTGGTGCCCTCCCCAGCAGCATGTGCTCCAACCCCCCCCCTTAAAAATAATAATAAAACCTAGAAAATTATTCCAGTGCGTTTCTTGGCGAGCCCCTGCTCCCAACGCCCCGGCCCAGACCCCCCCCATTTCCTCAGACCCTCCCCCCAACCCTCCTCCAACCCCAGTCTTATCTCTGGCCGTCCATGGTGGCCACGGCTTTCTGTGGGGGGGCTGCAGGCGGGGGAGCGGGGGGCCAGGAGGGCTGCGGGTGGTGCAGGTGGTGGGCGAGGCCGTGGGTGGTGGGCGAGGATGGGGGCAGCCAGGCGGGCTGGTGGCTGGGGGGCGAGGAGGCCCAGAAGGGGCTGAAGCTGCCCGGGGGGGAGCAGGCCATGGAGGTGATGGGGCTGTTGCTGCTCTGGAGGCTCTCCGAGGTCCGCAGCTTGGAGAACATGGCCAACGCGTCCGGGAAGTTGGGCGGCGTGGCCGGCGTGTTGCTGGGGGTGCACATCTGCGGGGCACGGGAGAAAGGGGGGTGTCAGGTCAGTCAGAGAGGCTTTTGGGGGGGGTCCCAGCCCACCCCCAGTAGCCAGAGCCATTGCCTTTCACCCATCGTGTTTCACCACCACCAGGGATCCTGCCTGTATCCCACGCCTGGCACCCCCCAGATCCCAGGGATGCTCAGAGCCCGGGACTGGGATATCTGGCCCTTGAGGGTCTGTGTGGCTCCCACAAAGCTGCCTGGGGAGTGTCTCCAGTGAATCTAGGAAGGACACTTTGGACCATCCAGGATGCTCAAAGCCCAGGGATGAGGCAGGTTTGGGGAGCAGCAGGGACAGGGCTGATGCAAAAGGATGCAGTGTGATGGGTGGGGAGGGTGTTGGGGTCCCCCCGGCCCTGCAGGACCCTCTTTCACCCAGTTCCTTTACCCCTCTTCCCCTTTGCACCCTGCTATGGCAGGGAGAGCAAAAGGCAGGCAGTGCCCCTCGAGGCCCCCCAGTTCCTGGTACAGCCCCTGCCTTCTGCGTATCCAGCTAAATTTAGCACCTGGACAGTGATGGATTTGGGCCTTTTTCCAGCCAATCTCCCCAGCTGAGGAGAATCCATCAGGTGGGACCCAGCCTAGCACTGGGGCTCAGGGGCTGGCACAGGGAACCCCCAGTTCAGCAAAGCACTTGTTAAACTGAGTACTGCGGGTGATAAAAGGGAAATGGGGGGGTGTGTGCAAACTCCCATGAGGCTGCACACACAGGGAAGGGGTATGGGCAGGGAGGGCACACGTGGGCAGGGGGATGCACTGCCAGAGGATGCCTGAACATGGGGGTTGTGGGTGCACAGTGGGGGCTTCACCCCTCTGGGTTAAACCCATTCCAAATCCCTGTGGCCCTCAGGGAGCCACAGCTCCTGTCAGATGCTTGTGGGGACTTTGAGCAGATTAAGGGGCTTGGGCAGCATCTGCTGCCTTTAGCAATGGGGGATTGAGGGGAGTTTCTGATGGTGAATAGCTCCTGCATCTCTCCTTTCCTGGGATTTGCCCCTGGCTGGTGCTCAGCAGCCCCCTGAGGCTCCCCAGCACAGGCCAACATCTAAATCCCTGTTATAGGTTCGTCCTCATCCCCATCCCAGCCACCCTTAGTGATGCAGGGATCAGAGGAGCGATGGCCAAACCCTGGTTGCTGGTCTATTTGAAGTTGGGGTGCTCTGTGCTGGCTGTGGGATGGATGAGCTCCCATCAACCTGCAGAGCTGGGGCACCCCAAAAATGCAATCGTGGCCAGGCTGGCACTGAAGGGGTTTGTGGTGAGCCAGGGATGTTCCTCCACAGAACTCATTTCAGAGCTCAGCTTGAAGTGGTGCTGATCCAGTTTTTTTTTTTAAATAACCTATACATTTGGCAGCATCTGAAAAGATACTTGTTGCAAAAAAAAAAAAAAGGACCAAAAAAAGACCAAAAAAATGTCATTTACTCTGTTTTGAAAAAATCCAACCACCACCAGAGCCATACACACACACCAACTGCCAGCCCTGGACTGAGGTTGGATGTGATGCTGGAGAGGGGACACAGCTCTGAGCTTCTGGGGTGGTGTTTGCCAGATTAATTTAAAACATTAATTTAAAAAAAAAAAGAATTGTCATGTAATTATTGCCTTCTTTCTCCAACACTTGTGGAGGAGCTCTGAGGGTCGATCCCACCACAAGCAGCCACACCGACACCCCAAACAGTTCTGGGGAATCCCGGTCCCACAGCCCGGAATCTGGAGGGGTTTGGGAAGTTCCCCCCTCCACAGAGGTGACAGTGACGAGCTGCCCCACTCTGAACTGTGGCTGCCGCTCTCAGACCTTTGTTCCCTGACGCTTGAAAAAGAAATAGAAACCGCAAGCACAAAGCTCCTCATCTCACCCCTGCCCTGAGCCGTGTGGGGCATTTCAGACTGCAGGAAACAGGGTGCTGGGAAGGGGGCAAACAGTAAAAAAAAAAAATCCTAAAAGTGGGAGTATTTGGGGAGAAGGTCAAAGGTATTTTTACACCACGTGGGGCACACGGTGTTAGGAAAACACACAGCTGGGGAGGGGGAGAGTTGACCAGTTCTGGACCCTCCGTGCTGGGCAGGGTGGGGGTGTCATGTTTGGGGTGGGTGGTGGGTCTCACTCGGCCCTGGGGAGCTCAGGGATAGGGCTGGGATGGGTTTCATCAGCGCTGCTTTGCATTCTGCTTCCGGCAGCCGCCCAGGAATCGCCCCACCAGGCTTTTGGTGTGAAAACACAGCGAGGCCTCAGATCTGCCGGCAGCTCTCCCGTCCCCCTTCCCACCCAGAACGGAGGTTTTCCATAAAATGACCCCTTTGCAAACGCCCAGAGGTGGCAAATAAAACGTGCAGGGGGGAGGAGGAATTAAAATAAAAGGGGGTTTCGGTGGGAGCCAGCTGGCAAAATGACTTTCTCTGAGGCTCAGAGAGCTCTCGCTGCCGGCAATGCCTGGCCGGCTGGAGATTCCCTGGCAGCGTGAGAAAAGGAGGAAAATTCGGCTTAACCCACATCCACCCCTTCCCCCGAGCACGGCCCTTTCAGTTCCCTCACTAGGGGGGAAAAAAAAAATTCAAAAACCCCAAGAAACACAACACAAAACACCCGGAGGGGAATAACTTCCTCCCTTCGGCCAAGGGGGATGTGCCCTCGGCCAAGGTCAAGTGGCGTTTGGGGGGAAGGAGGAGGTGGGGAGGGGGGGACAGACGTGGCCCCCCCGGGCTGGGGGAGCCGAACTTCCAGCGCGATGCTCGCGGAGACAAACTATTTCCTGGCAGACATTTTAGCTCGTGTTTACATTCTCCGGCTGCGTGTTCCTGCGGGCGCAGAGCAATATGGCTGGCAGGGGAGCTGACAGCTCCGCGGGCCGGGGGGCTGCACGACCCTCGGGGGCCGCCCCGAGGCGGGGGCTGCTGGTCTGGAGGGTCCCGAGCCGCGTGGTGCTCGTAGGTGTGGGGGGGTCGGGGGGGC